ACAACATTCACCATATCAACACAGGTAGAGGCCGTAGTCCAGTATAGACCACGACACTTTTCCCCATGAGCCACAATCATGGAACCCTTAATGAGCTTCCACTTTCCAGCACCATTGGTACTGACATATCCCTCATCATCCAAAACATCAATAGAGATCAAGTGCAAACAAACATCAGGTGCATGCTTTACCTTGTTCAAAACTAGTTTAGTTCCAATACTAGTTTCCAAACAAATCGTTCCAACACCGGCCACCCTAGATACAATCTCATTACCCATACTCAAAGTTCCAAAATCACCCTGAGTATAGGATGAGAAAAATTCCTTCCTTGATGTCACATGAGATGCGGCACCACTGTCCACAACCCAGCTTAACTCATCACAAGCAATATTTATCAGATCAGCAGCAAGGACAGTAACAAGATCTTCTGTAGTGACGGTGGCCACACGATTGCCATCTTCTTTCTATTCTTCCTTGTCTCTATTCTCCTTTTTCAAAATTCGGCAGAACTTCTTTGTGTGCCCTTTCTTCCCGCAATGATAGCACTCAATATCTTTAAGTATGCTTTCTGGATTTGCTTCTATTATGTTCTCTATTTTGAGAACCCTGATTCTTGCTTCTCCCCCTAGAGTCAGTCACCAAGACATCTGATGAGGAGGAACCCTGAGATTTTCTTCTCATCTCTTCATTTAAAAGGTTGCTCTTGGCAAGATCCATAGAGATCACACCATTTGGAGCAGAATTTGATAATGAAGTTCTGAGAATTTCCCAAGAATCTAGTAGAGAACCAAGTAGAAATAGGCCTTAAATTTCTTCATCAAATTTAATGCCCATAGCAGATAACTGGTTCATGATCCCCTGAAAATTATTCAGATGATCTGTCATCGCGGAACCATCATGGTATTTTAAATCCAACATCTCCTTTATCAGAAACATCTTGTTGTTTCCAATTTTTCGAGCATACAAACTTTCAAGGTGCTCCCATAGGGTCCGAGCATGTGTCTCCCCAGAAATATGGTTCAAAACATTATCGTCAACCCACTGTCTAATAAAGCCGCAAACATGCCTATGTAACAAATTCCACTCTTCATCTGATTTATTATCAGGTTTTATAATGGTGAAGGCAGGTTGATGAAAATTCTTGACATAGAGCAAATCTTCCATTTTGCCCTTCCAAATGACATAATTTGTGCCATTTAAAGTAACCATTCTACTAGTGTTGACTTTCACCGTTTATCACAAATACAAATACTATTTATTAGGAGTAATTCTTTTCTGATGTGGAAGTTCAGACTGTACTGCAACCACAGAGTATACTCAGACAAAACCTTGACTTTGATACCACTTGTTAGGAATAAACCCCGTAAAAATAATATTCACGGTATTAGTGATAAACGCAGACCACTAAGTTATGGTTAAATCAGCAAGAATAAAAATGCAGCAAAAATGACACCAAGATTTTATGTGGAAACCCTTCTGAATAAGGGAAAAACTACGGCCAAGAAGAGCGACTGATATTACTATAGCAAGGAATTTTACATTGTGTAGTAACGAGTACAAATACTCCTAAGACCACTACACTCTCAAAAGAAAAAAAATACTCTTTTGCTTTTCCCACCTCACTATAATATCTCTCACACTCTATTTTTCTTCACAAACTATTTTCTTATAGTCTATGGAATACCTTGCTCTCTCTCTCACTCAGATGTATTGTCTGAGGTTTTTGGTTGTGTAGAAATGAGAACCGAAGCTCTCCTTTTATAGGCAGAGCCTCGCCTACTACACTTGACATTTTTCTTCTGCAGCCTACCCTTTTTGACAATGCAGAAGGGAAAGTTGCTGCCAACTTTGAAAAAACCAACAAAGGAAGAAAAAGTCTTCCTAAATTTATGGAATGGACCCCACAACATCTGTATAGTTTGTCTCTCAAAATGCCGTTCACATTCCAATTACTAGGTTCATGGGGCAGCTTTTGTTCGTCGGCTCTAGTCTCAGTTCTGTGTTCAACAATTTAAAGTTGTTCTCCTTTTCGAAATCCCTCACATGCATTTCAATGGCTACCTTTCAAGCCACACATTGATATGGAAAGATCGTATCTTGTGATTTGACAGACACTGAGCTCAGGGGCGGCTCAATGATGTTTGTGGCCTAAAGCGAACTTTATTAAGAGGCCTTAAGAAGCCTAAATTAAGAGGCCTTAAGAAGCCTAAAGCAATATTTCTATTTATTTATTTGTAATTTTTTTTTAACTTTTTGACATAGAATTCTTCTTTTTCTTTGATTTCATTACCACCTAACTCAATAAGATCGGAGACTTGTTCATTTTAAAAACACTTTCCTATACCTTTTTATTAAACTTTATCTATTGTTTGAAAGAAATTTATTAGCAATACCTTTTTGAGGTTGTATGAAAAAGTTATTCATATTTTGTTGTTGGCATGTTTAAATTCTGTTTTTTTTTTAAAAAAAGAAAGAAAGTTAGAAAGACTAAACCTGATTCTGAGAGTAGATAAACTTGATGATTGATTTCAAAATAAACTAATCCATGAGAGAGTTTCACTTCTTCAATTTGCTTATTTAAATGCTTGAAAACATGAGAAAGAATATGAAAATAAAGGTACAATTCGAATTATACAAGATATTTTTTTGTTTGACAGAATATGCAGATGCATATGAAAGAAAAAAAAAACATGTACAAATATGAATTTGGAAGACATGGCCTAGAAAAAATATATGGCTTGTTAAAAACTATATATTACTTTACACGTAGAGGTTCATTGCGATAATTTTAGACCAATATGTTACAATCAGTTTAAGAAGTTCAGTGTTCTGGTGAAGCAAGCGACGCGAACCACTGAAAATCATGATCATCACTATATACTAGTCAACACTGCCCTCAAAAAAAAAAAAAATCTAAGGATTGTGGTTCTGACAAGATGTCAGAGTTTTCAGTGGCGCCCAATTTACGAATATCTGATGTTACTGGCATCTAAGAAGTATCAGTGAATGGAATATTTCAGAGGAATGCAACTTCTAGCTGCTTATCATTGCATATGGGGATAGTCACCTATGTTTTGCACTTCTGATTATTAATTTTAGTGCAATCTGTGGAAAGTGTATAACAATATAGAATTAAGTCCAAGTGATGTATGTTTTCCTTTGACTCTAACAATTGTGCTAGCTACTTAAGTTCTATAAACACATTAAAATCCTGGTCAGTGAGAATTCATATGACTGACCCCAACTTGTTTAAATGGAGCAAAATTGATAGTGATGATTAATATAGCCTATCCCAACTTTCATGGGATTGAAGGCATTGCTATTGTTGTCATAAACCAAATCCTTACTTTGTCTCTGAGCATTTTTGCTGTTCTTATGTTATAGCGAAGTTTTGACCTTTTTTCACAGGATTCAGACTTATTTTGTGAAGAACCATTTGACGCCTTGGTGGTTTTGAGAACAAAAGTAAGTCTTTATGCTTTCACTTGAGGAACATAGCATTGTGACCATTCCTTTTTTTGTTGAACATTTGGAGTATTACTGTTAGTAAACAGAAGCTTGCATTATGGAACTGTTGGAAGTAAATGTCTAAATAGTAAAGACACTTAAGTTGGTACGCACTCTTGAAAATTAGCCATAGCTGCAGGGTCAGCCATTTCTTTTCCTAGGCTGTAGTATGTGTTAGGTTGACTGTGTAGGAGAATCTTGGGACAGGAACCAGAAGTGACAAACTATGAAGAAATGACTTAAAAAGGTAATCATGTTACAGAAAGTTTATGGCTCTTTTTGGACAATAATATCAGAGATTTGTGATATCAGCATAGTGATTTTCTTCTCTTGCTTTCTTGTGCTTATACACTAACTACGGTCTCGAAATGCATTACTTCTATTCACAAATTTTGTTAAGATACAGTGGCGAATCTCTCACATAACATCACAGTATCAAAAGCAAAATCATTAACAAGATTTCCTACTATACTGATAATATGTGCTTCATCTATCTATGTTTCAATTTCTAATGAGTGATATGTCATTGCTTCCATTCTTGTTATGTTTGGTTGCTCAAAGATTTCAACTATATGATACTATAAAAATTCATCATCTACACTAGTAGCGCCATTTTTCAACTGTGTTCATCTACATTGATAGCGTCATTTTTTTCATAGACCTCGATTTTTAGTAAAAGCAAATGTTTCTCAATATTGGCCCTTTGTTATAGAAAAGGCTACAATGTTTTCTCCATTGTCCAGTACTGTTGTTGTTGGATATAGCCAGATTCATTTCATCGGTGTTATACCTATAAAGAACACGGGCTGAAGCATTTAGTTTTCGACTTTAATGTCACACAAAGTGCATCTTGAATTTCAAATCATATCTTACATTCACATGAAGTGGCATCTTCCACTTGACATCAGCCAAAAAATTAACTAAAGATCAAAAGAAAACAAATGCTGTTAAGCTGTTCAAGGGATTATGCGCGTGATGCTATTGCTCAACAATGTAGATGTGATAATTCGGACAATTTCAATCAAATAACTCTCTCATCTTATTAATTTTTAACATATGATAAGCATCTTTGTATCATCTTGTGTTTGTGCTTCTCAGGTAATTGCTCTATAATGAATTCATGCAGGTTAAAGTTCCTTTGAAATCTATTGAAATGACTGTCATATAGGTGTTCAAACTTGAAAGAAGAGAAAAATTTTTGCCGACAAAAGGTATTCAATATATGTTATATACTTATAAAGCCTAATATTTTACATATATACACTATGTAATTTTTTTACGAAGGGTAGTCAATTGACCACCCTTAGGACAATGTGGCTTCGCCCATGCTGTCACAGGGTTAAGCAGTGTGATGCAGGTCATAGATTGAATAGTGCTAATGAATGTTTGATGTTAATCTTCTTTAATTTGGCTAGAATATTCCGCGGCTATTGAGTTGTCCCCTTCACTGTGCTGCAGAAATTAAATTCTTATAGTTTCAGAGCACTTGGACATCAGGACAGGAAATACAACATCATGAATATTAATTAAAGAATTCATACATCGAGTCAATATTTTTCCTTTGCATCTTGATACATTAACTTCTGTTGCCTAATAATCTATATCTTAAAGAGCTACTGGAGCTAGCCTTCTCTTAAACTTACATGTGCAGAGAAGGCATAAGAAATATGTGAAGTTAATAAGCTATTCACATTTACATTGGCTACAACCAAGTTTTCATTTTCTATTCATTCTGCTGCATATTTACCCATCTCTGACTCTTTATCTATCCGCTGCTATCAGTTGTTATGAAACTGATACTGCCTTTTGGAAAATTCTCTGACCAGGTGCTAGCATAGCTAAAGGGTCATAAGCAGATTTTCTCTGTACAAATACTTCCCATTTTGGACCAAAGTGGGTCCTCCACTGTTCTTGTGTTGTGTAATGAGGCAAATATTGCTTGACTCCTAGGTGTGCCACATCACAGAAATCTAATATTCTTTTGTTCTGAGTTAAGACATGTTCTAAACTGTCAGTTCCACTGGATGAAGGATTTGCATGGGATAAAAAGGCCACCAGGTAGATAATATCTTCATTTGGAGAAACAAATGAGGTTCTGTTATCCAACCTGAAAAATAAGACCAAAGTAACATGTCAATTGATTGGAAAAATTAAGTACTAGATTTTTGTATATGCGAAACGTAATATAAATGAAAATTACTTTGATTTATGAATGGGGTAGACAAGAACAGGGCCATTGTTAGTATCTTTAAGGATGTTGCCAAAAACTTCCTTAGCGAAGTGTTGTATTTTGCTTTTAGGAACTAGAAGATTGAGCCATGGGTGTGGGAGATCCCAAAGTCCTTTCGATCGAAGTTTTAGCTCTGAAGCATGAACTCTGTCCAAAAATTCTATGTATGGAACTTCTGACATAAATAACGTTGATGGAATATAACTTAGTTGGGATAATAAATCTTCAATTTCCTGCATCTGCATGAAACAACAAGCAGTTACATTAGAATTGTTTCATCGAATTGACCTTTTTTGGATTTTTTCCAAGATTTTTAAGTTATGTACATTGCCTTACCTGGTTTACTGTATCGGATTTTTCGGGGTATAAATTTTTGGTTAGTTCAAGGCAATAGAGTGTTCTTCCATCTGATACAAAGTGGCTGGCTTGAACAGGATCTTGAGGGTCAAAAGATGCTCTCCAGTTATTCATTAGACCTGTTTTGTTCTTTATCACCAGCCCTTCTATGTAATCAAATGTTTTAGCTGCAGATATCAAATGCTCTTGGTCTCTGGCAAATGTGGAGAAATCAGAGTACAACACTCTTATCCATTTCACCTGTTAATTAAAGAAAATCACATGTCTAGTAATATTCCGATGGCTTAAATCGGATATTCTTGAACTTTATTAAGTGAATTTTTTACCATCCTTGGGGCTCGTTCCAGAGAGATTCTTGCTCTAGTTATTATGCCAAACTGTCCAAGTCCTCCCAAAACAGCATGGAATAGGTCAGCATTCTGTTCCTTTGAACAAATTAAGACTTCTCCTTTTCCTGCAATGAGTTCAGTTCATGTACGTTAGTCAATAAGACACGTGCTGAATTTCTTTTTTCAAATTATGTGATGTTTGTTAATTGAAAATGAGTGGTCTTTGCATATTTGGTGTAAATAAAGTCAGGCTCCAACTTGTACTATGAGAAATGTTTGCAGCTTCTTAAGTTTGGTCTTCCTTAACTAACATATCATATCAGACAAAAAGAGGTAATAACTTGTGTAAGTTGCCTTATGACCGTTTTCTCATATTCCATCATACCGCCTTTTACCAAATCACTGCCATATCTTCGGTATTTTTCTTTTTTTCCTAAAAAATAAATTTTCATACTTGCTTATTCTCGTCAGACTATGGGAAAATTTTCAAACCTGTAACAACCTCCAGCTGGTGGACATTACTGATCTGAGGGCCGTGTCGAAATGCCTGTCCACTGATGCCAGCATTAGACAGTGTACCTCCAACAGTAAGATGGAGGTAGTCAGTCCAAGATTTTGGTGCTAATCCATATTTCAAAGTTTCATGCAATATATTAATCCACAATTCACCAGCTGAGACATCTACATAAGGGAATTGACCCCTGTAGACCTGCATTTCCTGACCCTGTAGTGACTCCATGTTGATTATAACTCCACGTCGCGCTTGCGCCTGGCCCTGAAGCGAATGACCGTGGCCTCGCGCGGCTACGGTTAATTCAGAACCCGGACCCATTTGCCAGACATGTTTAATTATTTCTGAAATATCAGCAACGGATTTGGGATGGACTACTGCTAAAGGGTGGACATGAATTTGGTTGCCGAAATCTCGGGCTGCAAACTCATTGTTTTCGAAAGTAATATGGCCTTGTAAATGAAGGGCTTTCAATGAGGATAGGACACTGGAAAAACAAAATTCTGGTTTGATAATTACCCAGCTTAGCACTAAAATTGTGAAGCTTCTTAGGAACAGAACGTTCTTTTTTCTGGTGAAAACAAAGCTTTGGCACGTCATCTCTTTGATAAAGGAAATAAAAAAAAATGATATTTTTTGCTATGTTCTTTCTATCAAAGTAAGTAGAAGATAGAAGAGCAAAGAGTGAAGAGTTGAAGAGGAAATATAAAGGAGAAGATTTAAGATTATATGAGTGGGAGAGTCAACCTATATTGAGTGGTAAGAATCCGTATGAAGACTGTCTACTTTAGGTGGGAGAATTTAAGGGATTTTCTTTTGAGTTCCCTTTTGTTTGGGGTCTTTATTTAGTTTATATAAGAGTATAGAGAAGCCAGCCATCACATGTTGCCAAGTTGAAGAAGAAAAAGTCATCAGAAAAGAAAGATTTCCCCAAATCTTTGCACCTTTTTCTCACAGTTCCTTCCACAGTTTTACCTTTTCCATTAAAGACAAGTTATGTCTCTTAAACCCCCCTTTTTTCAACTGTTGTTATTAAGGATAAGTTTTCCATTTATAGAGAAAAGTAAATGGTTAGAAAAGGGATGTTCACTTGTTTTTAGGAGTATACATAGGCCGGGTTAGTTCGAATTTTTCAATTATCAAACCAAGCCAATAAAAATCGAGGTTTTTAATCTCGGATTTTTCGGGTTTTCGGTTTTTTTCGGGTCTTCTTTCATAAAGTCTTCATAGCACAAAACATAGAATTTGTGCTCCAAATATTTCTTTGATCCTAGTAAAACAGAATTATACAAGGTGTTTTTCAATAAAATAACATAAATATCATATGAGTCATGCCATTGTACTAAAATATTCAACAAGAAAGATAATAAAATCGCATAAAATAAGTATTATTAATAAGACATAATGAAAACAAACATAATTTAAAATTACTAAGTTGCTAAAATAAGTACGACTAATAAGTACTATATTTACATGACTAAACACTAAAAGAAACATAAGTTATGCATTTTATGTAAACCATGGGAAAACTAAAAAATAGATAACCAACACTATTTTCATTCATAATACTATTGAATTGAATGTCTATTAGTATTGATTTGATTATGATTTAGGATTTATTTGAGTTACTATCATTTATGGACTACAAAACTTATTTGAGCATCCAAAAATTATAAGTCCAAGCTTGAAATAGTACGTTAAAAGATAAAACCATGAAAAAGTTTAAGAAATATTTGTAAATTACACTGCAATAAATATCTTTATGTATTAAACGTATTTAAAACTTCTATATATACAATGTCAAGTTGGTTTGGTTTCGGTTTGACTTTTTTTAGTTAAAACCAAACCAAACCAATTATGATCGAGTTTTTTCTTCCAACACCAAACCAAATCAAACCAAAGTCGGGTTTTTTTTCTCGGTTTGACTCGGATTAGGGGGTTGGTGCGGTTTGTCAGTTTCATTTGTACACCCCTACTTGTTTTTATTTTTGCCCTATAAATTTCTATCCAGGAGCGCATTCGAGCAACGCTAAAGTTGTTTCTATAGGTTTGAGTCGTGAAATCAGCCCGTGATGTCTGTATTCGGGTAGCTGCCTACATCACACCCTTTGGGGTGCGATCCTTCCACTGACCTTATGTGAATGTGGGATAAATTTCTATCTACTTTGTCAATGTAAAGTATCTATTAGTATTCACTTAGATACCTTTGATTATTAGTGGCATTTTCTTGAATACCCGTTTGTTGTTGAAAGGCAAACATTGCGTACCTATATTCAGATTGAAGAAAGGGACGCTGCACAACAATGGATGGCATCTAAAGGGTCCACGTGATATATGTAGAAAATTTCCAAGAAAATGAGTGCCTTTTGTATATGAAAGGGGAAATGATATATTTGTGTTTGGGACCTCTTATAATCATGTGCTCCAAAGAAAGAAATATTCTTTGCTGAAAACGCATATAGTATTGATGCCTTAGTTCCCAGCAAATGGACAAACAGAGAATCATTCTTTTGTTTGTGTTTGTAGATTTGCCCAAAAAGCCAGTAATTCTGTACTATGATGATAAACCAATCCTCTTTCTGTTTTAGTGAATTGTTTATGACACATTGGTTTTATGCTGATCTCTACTCTACTCTACTTTTTAATGGATGACTTGGAATAAATTCTCTCTATCTCCTTTCTGGTCTTTGGATACTTTAACAGGTCAGAGAGTCAAAATGAGATTTTTGCAATAAGAATTCTCAGTCATTTTTTGCTTTTGTGAATTCGGGACAGTAGCAGGGTTAGATTCAGATATATGGGTTCTTGCATTGTTTGATTTTAGGGGATTATCTTGTCTTTGCATTGTAGGCCATGAAATGGATCGAAGATCCGTGAAGGAATATTTCATCATTTGAATTTTGAATAAAGCTAGCACGGTTAGATTTGGTGGAGGGTTAATATTTACTCTAATTGATCAATTCTTTGAGAAATGTAGATAAATTTGAAAAAACAAGTGGAAATATATATATATATATATATATATATTCACTTACTCTAGCACAGTAGCACTCTGATGTTATACTCTAGCCTTTTATTCCTATTATCCTTACTACCACGATTAGGGAATTTGAGAATGTGAATCTTCAGGGCAAGGACAGTGGAAGAGCCATTCTCAAGGTAAAGTTTTGTTCAGCCCATGAATACGTTGGAAACGGACAGAAAACGTTTTATTCTCAAAATAAACTTTTTTATGCAAAATCCAAATAAGTCCTACTTTAAAGCGGTTAGGGGACAACAAGTAAGAAACCAAAAAAACATAGCACGAGGTAAAACATGTATTGCATGCTAGTTCTAGTCAAGATGTTCCATAGTTTCGATATCTAGTATAATATAAGTTTCAACGTTTTATTTTTGCACTGCATGTGAAAGGGCTCGAAAATTTCATTCCAAAAGTTCATAATAGATTATTCATACCAAAAGTTGATGTTAAATCTTTCACCAACAAAATAACGTAAGGTTAAAAACCATTTTTTGAGCTATTTCACAAACAATTTGCTTATTGGGACCACTTAAGTGATCAGAAAAACACCAAAGTGATTTGTAGTAGACAGAAAAAGCATGATAACCTAAAAGAGACCCATCAATGTCTCCATTAAAATCCAGCTTACATTTATTAATGAACATAAATAAGTAGTATTAGAATGTTATAATCTAAAATAAGATTGCACTCAATTCCCTCAGATTATGCATGGGACTAGTAAGATCTGTATCGAGTACTGTGAGATGGGAGAGAAGTAGCTAGTAGAATAACCTAGTCATATCATTTACTAATATTTATAAGTAGAATAAACCTAATCCTTAGTGCATTTTACGCTTTCTAGAAGAGGAGAGCCGACCATTAATAAATAAATCATAAAGCTATTAAAAGGAAGCTATTTAGGGCCAAAAGAACGAAAAGGATTTCAAATATGTTTAATTACATGAGAACAAACTTTATAACACGTAAGTGTGTGTGATTTGGTTCAGAAATAAGTTACGTAGGAATTGGTAATATAGAAATTATAATTCAGAAGGATTATAATACACAAACAAACTGTAATGTAGGGGCTATTTGTTATTGGATATTTGGTTTCTTGTATAAAAAATTATTATTATAATGTATACTTAAAAAATATTTTTATTTGTTTAACAAAATAAAATAATGTTTATTATATGAAGGGTTGTTTTTTTGATTTAGTTATCCTAATTCATGTATTACTAGTTTTTGAATTTTATTCAATATTTTACCATGCATTAAATTGTAATATATAATACGAAGATTCCATATGTGGGTATTAGTTATACGGAACAAAATTTGCAACTAAATATTATAATGAATTATATATGCTAAATTTATGTAGAAAAAACATCAAACCTAACATTGTATAAAACAATGTTGAATTTTGTATGAAATTTATTTTCTCTATTAAACATCACCTAAGAATTTTCTATGCTGTCAAAGAAAATATGGGGGTTGGGGTGGAGGAATATTGTTAACCCAATATCAAACATGAAATTAAGACACAAAATAAATCAAAATTAGCAAGAACATATGTGTACCTGTTTGAGCTATATCGCAGATTGACCAAGGACTGGGGTCTTCCTCTCTATTAACCTTTCTCCAATATGGCGGCATCCATGAGACAACTACCACACACAACAGATATTATGAAATAACTCTAAATATATGTTTATATAAGGGCTAGAGAAGGGATCTAGCTATAATTAATGAAATGTCCTCCTATTACGGGCCTCATTAGGTTAAGCATAGTAAAAATGATACCAGGTAATCATTCTAAAGGGCTGCTATTTAGGAATTATCCTGTGCGTATTAAATTTTAGTTTTTCAGTTCAAATTTTCAGGAAACAAATATTCTAAATTATCCTAAAGTTAAAATTTTTAATTTAAAAATTCAGGACAAAATAAGTACTGGCTAATCTCTAAATAACATCCATGAGAATGTCTATCTGTGCACTTGCCCCTTGAGCATACACTCACCGCCGTACTAGACCCACCAAGCATATAAAATATGCGGCCCAATAATCAATTATCACACTTATAATTGGGCTCATGTTTATGAACTATTATCAAACCCGAATATTTAAATATAAATAGAATATTTAGGGGCATTTGCTTCTATACCCGCTTTTTGTATCACGTTTTAACTTGTGCTCCCTTTGCAAAAAAATTGCAAGTGTACCCGCTTTTTCGCATAACTTCAGCATACAGGGCTGAAGTAGCAAAGACAATCACGCAAAACTTCAGCATTCTAGTAGATGAACCTGAAGTAGCAAGTGTGCTGAACCAAGTGTGTTGAAGTTTTTGTTTTGTAACTCGCGAACTTCAGCTCTAGAGTTGAAGTTTTTGTTTTTTTAACTGGCGAACCTCAGCTCTAGAGCTTAAGTTTTTGTTTTGTAACTGACGAACTTCAGCTCTACAACTGAAGTTTTTGTTTTGCCTTAGCTATTAATTAATAATATAGGCTGCAAACAACAGCGAATTCCAGAAACTTAACTAATGAAGGAAGCATATTCCAAACCATTGGCTTCACAGTATGTGCAGTTCAAGGTAGTAGACGATTTGCGTGAAGAAAGGACGTAAAATGAACCGGCTTGCAAAAATATAAATACACGGTCCCACTGTTATCATCTAATAAATTTATCTATGCACAATCCAATCCAAAGTAGATAAAATAGGAAAAATTTCACATAAGAATAATTGAGCTCCCTACTTTTCAATTTTATAGCCCATATTTATGGCAATCATCCCATGAACTGAAGTTCCATAGTAGCACCAACAACAGCATAAGAAAGAAGAAGAAGAAGAAGAAGAAGAAGAAGGAGGAGGAGGAGGAGGAGGAGGAGGAGGAGAAAGGGGGCTGAAGTTATTTAAAAAGTGAGTATAAGTTAAAATTTAAAAAAAAATGGATATAGATTAAATGGGGGCGACCAAATAGAGCACCCCGTGCAATTTTTTCGAATATTTAATAATGTAAGCCCATTTTTCTTACATATTGACTTGATAGACAAACTTTAGCGGTTAATTAATTTCATTACAAATTGGATCAATTTCTCTTTTTCCATCTGGTGAAATACGGTTATCTCAGAGTTTTTTTTAAATTATTTTTTATTACATTGAGATCAGATCCAAGAAGAGAAAAAGGGAAGGAGACAGTCGAGATTAAACATATATTGTCTACTGCTGTATAAGAGATTATCACTCATACCACTAAAATGTACTCCGTTGTAGTATTATAGAGGTTATCTACCCTACGATGCATAAGAAGATTGTTAGAGATATTTGGTCGATGATCTGGTTATGTAAAGACTATAAACAAAGCTAATTATATGTGAATAATCATGCAAAAATTATTAGGCGATGAATTTTAGTTGTTGACGCATGGACATGCGAGAGGCAGTGGGGTACGTAGGAATTTTTAGAAGCGGTGTCCAAATTTACAGAAGTAAGTACAAATAAATAAACCATTGTACCAACAAGTGATGTTATTTTTTATATTTATATCTAATATTTTAATATTATTTATTAATACACGCGCGCGCGGGCGCGCACACACATATATATAAATATATAGTCGCACCTCCTTTTTCCGAGGGGATAGGGAGTTTTTCTAATTAAAGTGACATTAATCGAAATGAGATTATTTATTTATTTCAAAGTCGCCACTTGGAATATTTATGATGTCCCAAGTCACCAGTTTATTTTAAAATCCCAAATCGAGGAAATATCACTCTGTTTTAAAGTCTGCGAAAATCAGAAAACCGAGTAAAGAATTCTGTTAACCCGGGAGAAGGTGTGAGGCGCTCCCGAATTCCGTGGTTTTAGCACGATCGCTCAACTATTAATAATTGGCCTAATTATCTGATTAATTATATATTTGAGACCTATTGTGCATTTTTGACTTACTAACCGCTTTTAATAGAATGTTAATTGCTTTTACAATTTATGGAATTTATTTGAATAAGTCGCGATATCACACACTTCCTGATTTTGTACATATTGCGAATCGCGTTACATGAAACGCACTCGCGATCTACAACATGTTGATTTTTATTATTATTCAAAGTTGTGGTCGAGTCGTGTGCACTCGAATTGGGATTAGGTATCATGACTATGCCACGGAAATCGTACCCATAGTCACGATGATTTATTATTAATCGCGCCTAAAGTAAGCTACGATGTTCATAATTTGCTTATTTTTTATGTTTAACCCCTATGAACCAATCATGTCACAAGATGCCAACGTCTGCATTCTTTTAATTCATGAATTGGTGTCCAAATTCACACTAGAGCTCTTTAATACAGATTTCATTCCAAGCTTAACACTACTGCAATTCCATATATTTACCAAATCTAAGGACTATTATATGAATAAAATTTAAATCAAGAAAAAAAAATTAAAAAGGTGTTATTCACTTAGGTCGAGAGATGCTAAACTTTTAGTCTTATGATGAAGCTTAATCCAAATATTCAATTGATTAACTCCAAGTAGACAATTAACAGAGATTATCCCAAAAACCCCATGCCAGTCAAGATTTTACCGTCGTAGCAAATAGATCATGAACAACAAAATCTCAAAATGGGAATAAAAGTCGTCAATTAAACAGCAAGATCTCAAAACAATATCAAGTAAAGCAAATAAGGGATTCATAAGTCAGAGAGATAAGAAAGAACCTCATCTCTTTGAATTTGAAAATGTTTCAACACCAGAAACCTTGGACGGTGACAACCTCGAAGGCGACCTCAAACGACTTCAACAACCCAATTTTGATACAAATTGGCAAAATTGCCTTACTCGCGAAACATCTTGGAGGTGTAATACATCATTTTTTTTTCAAATACACTAATCAGTTGCTAAATTCTTCACATTTGGAAAACGACAGAAGCTTCTTGGAAAATGGGGGGGGGGGGGCTGCTTTTTCCTTTTGGGGATTAGGTGTGAAGCTGCCATTTTTTTTTGGAAAAATGAGAGGTTTGCGACGGCAGTCAAGGGAATTCTGGTTGTTTCTCCCTTTCTTCTTTGTGTATGCATGTGTCTTTTTTAATTTGGGGGCAAGAACATAGTTAAAATCTAAAGGGGAATTTTCCACGGAGATGGTTGCCGTCCTCTTTTTTTTTGGTCTCTGAGGAGATTCAAAGGTAGGTTAGGGTTTGGTTATATTTGGGTTTAAATATGAGTATAAGAATTGACATGAGCCATTAGATTGGAGGTAGGGGTGTCAATGGATCGGTTCGGTCGGTTATTTTATAAAATTTATACCATATCAATTTTTCGGTTATTCTATTATGTATAACCAGAATTGGACTTTTCGAAACCATCCCAATCATGTCAGTTTCTTTTCGGTATCGGTACGGTTCGGTAAATTTTCGGTAATTTTTTAATGTCATGTAAAAGTCACTAGTAGAAGTAGAATGCAATAACATACATACTTTTTTAGGACTTGGCAAAATTCTCTAGATATTTTTACAGTTTAAAAGGTAATGAATTAAGAAAATATGAAAGATGGCTAGAGTATAGATCAATCAACTATTCTACATCAGCATAAAAGAAACTAAGCAAATAAAAAAAATATAAATCACACGAGTAAAAAAATATTAAGTAAGTTGGAATTCAAGAATAAAGTCTATAGAAGATTAAATATTCAAGAAAATAAATCAAAATCATACGGAAGGAAACATGTTCAATATATTATAGATTGCTACTCATACCCGCTACAATACCTTGTGTCTTGCTAGTGAACATGCTAGAAATAATTTAGTTTCAATAGGAGTATCAAAATAGGTATGGAGGATTTTAAGTTTAATTACGTGTTGGTTTGTAACTGTTTCACAACTCAAAGGCCCAAGAAAAATTTAATGCTTTATTATTTTTAAACTTAATATATAAATATATTATTCACATTGTAAATTTATTCGGTAAAGTTCGGTATTTTTTCGGTTTATTTTCATAAAATAAAAAACCTACCCTAATTATTGGTACGGTTATAGATTTACATAAAAACTTATGGTTTTATTAAAAGAAATCTTTCGGTTCGGTACGGTACGGTTTGATCGGTTTAGTCGGTTTTTAAATATCCATTGACACCCCTAATTGGAGGGGAATAGATGGCTAAGATTAAATTTTGCATTTACGTGAAGAGTGGGCTATTGGGTTGGAAGAATGAGCATTTAGGTGCTGGGCCACTAAAATCTGAAAATGAACTCCCAATGCCCAAGTTCAATTCTTTCTCATTGAACAAAAATAAAATAAAAATACTACCAAAATATACTAGTTAATCTTAGTTAATAAGAATAAACTATTAAAGTGAATTATATATGAAAATATTTTTGGTATTTTCTAAATTTTATAAATATTATAAAATGCTAATNTAATAAGAAAAGAAACATTATAAAATTATTTTTGTCTTTTTAAACTTATGTTTTAAAATTAAAACTAAAACTGACTGAAATCCTATAAAAATGAAAATAAGTAATTTTTTTTTAAAATACTACTTTTAAAAGTTGCGCGGGTCAAAAATTACATGCTTACAGCTGCCCCTTTTTGCTTTAAACACGAAGAGTTTTCGGAGCAAAGAACAATAAGCAACATAATTGATTTATGACCCAACGTTTATTCAAAACGAAACAA